GATTGATGTACATTATGTCATTTATTGTAAATGAATAAAGTGCATAATTGATTCATGTGATTTTGTGTGTTTCTATGTTATACCCTTAAATTGAACACTTATGAGACTTGTGTTAGTTTAGAATCTTCACAGCCATTTGATAGATTTTGGGAGATTTATCTTGCCAAAGCTAACATTGATGTGCCGCCAAGTTGGTTGGGGTGGCTTGCCTTATCTGCTAGGGTGAGACCTGAGGTACATGCAATGTGGGTTTTCTTGAAACCCTAAATCGGACCAAATTCTAGTATTGCCCTAGACCTTGGAGATAGATGGGCAAAATTGGAATGTTACACCTGACCCCTAGACTCAATTATGGTACTGCACTAAGTGTTGAATTAGGTTATCTTTGATATGCCAATCAGTGAGATCCTTGGAGGGGGTCAAAACCTGAGTATGTTGGGACAATCCGAGAATTCACCTGAGTGGGTGATCATAGTGATAGGTTCAGCCCCTTTGTCGGACAAAGTGAATGACCAGAGAATGTACTCTCTCTGATGGGAACCTAAACTGCCAGCAGTTGATTTCAAACGTTGAAATTTGTTTTTGCAAAATAAATTTATATAGAGATATACATACATACATATATATATATTATGGTTTCAAAATATTTGCAAAAAGTTTTAATTCTCGGGATCCATGTGAATAGAGAGTGCAACATTGTGCCTTGCAGCCGAGGGAGAGGTCCTCTCTTGTCAGGCAATGCTTGATAATTATGGGTTGAGAGGTTAAGTGTAAGACCATTGAGGATAATACCTGATGGGCTAATCTTACATCTGCCTACAGTTCTTAGGTTTTCATAAGGTGGCTGGATCCAAGAACCATTTAGTGTAAATATTGGGCCCATTAAGAGCCCATGTGATGGACACAGGGGTTCACTGTCTCCTACAGTGAATTCGGCCTGGCCTTGTAACAAAGGCTGGGATGAACCCATGTGGCTGATGTATAGATCGATGTAAGAGTCCCACGCCATACAAAAAGAGCCAACTGGGCAGCAGGTTAAAAAGTAAGTGAGCACATAAGCTTAATGGGCCTAAAGCCCAATTCAAACTAGGCTTAAGTTAGTTAATTAAAAGGGACAAGATATGATTTATAATCTGATTAAGATTAGCTGAAGGATAAGATAAGTCTTATCCATTCAAGAGTCCAGATCCAAATATCAAAATTGGATCAAGAAACTCTCTCCTAATTAGATTAGGAGGCTGATCCAAATAAGACTATAAATAGGGGGCGAATTCCCCAGTTTTAAAACACAACAATCTATAGAGTTCTCCCCTGTTCTTGCTGCCCCTACCTAGTTCGATCTCCACTTGTAGAAGTGATCAAGAAGCATTCTTGATATTGCTTCTTTGTACTGAGGTCGTGCTCATCAGCCCCTATTCAATTCTTGCTGAAGAATACCAGTTCTTGCTGAAAAGCCATCCTGCTGATCGTGCTTCAACACGCACTATGTCATCTTCAGTGAAAGCGGGTTTTGGTTTTCTTCTTGGGCATGAACACCTTTAGTGGGAATTACTACTACTTCATATCAGGTATATCCTTCACTTCCTAATGGTTTCAGATCTGGTCCAGTTTTGCTTCAAGAATGATCATTGAAAACACAGTTTTTTAAAACAGGGAATGCGGTTCCCAGATGGGAGAGAGAATTTTTTGAAATTTTGCCCAACCTTCCTACAGGGTTCGGCCATCCATATGATGGATCTCTCATCCCTTCATCTACATGTATTTTTATAAAGCGTTTACAAAAAATGAAATATAAACATATTTATAAATAAATTTATTAATATATACATGTCTTTTTATAAGTAATATGTTAAGAAATATATACATATATATTCATCAAATCGAATTGGATCCTTTTGGATTGAATAGGGGGTGACCAAATCTGATTGGATTTGAAAATTTGATTGATGGTTATTCGAGTTCGACAAAAAATAGGATTGGATTTGGATTGATTGGAACATGATCCGATCCATTTGCACCCCTAACTTGGAGCATTGTAAGATGAGGTGGAAGATAGCTTTATGGGGGTGTTACTTGAAACCCCAACCAAACAACAAATGCAATAAATGTTAAGTTGAGGTGGAAGATAGCTTTATGTGGTGTTACTTGAAACATCCATGAAACACCCAACCAAACAACAAATGCAATGAACCTTTAAAGTAACGTTTCAACTATGATATGATATGTGAAATTTTTTTGACCAATCAACTGGTATCATAAACATGATAGTCAATTAGGTGTTATTTATCAAAATTCATGAATGAGTTTTGATTGGTAAGAATTCTTCCCGTACCATATCTTTCCCGTATCATAGATTTTCCCTTTTCAATTTAAATGTTTATGTGAGAAACACCCAATCTATAAATGCTCGGCCACGAAACCAAACACATACTTTGTCACATGGGTGGGACCCACTAAAAATGGTGAAAATGTTATTTTGTCCAATGTTTTTGAATTGTCGTTGACTCGGACGGTTGGGATGTTCAGCTCGGAAACCATCCAAGCAACTGGTTCCGTTTCACCCCTGACCCATTCTTGGGTCAAAAACCATTGACTTCGTCAGAAAACCGTTGACTCGGGTGGTTGAACCTTCAACTCATTTGACCCAGACAACGGTTCATGGTTTAAGAAAATTGCAAAGAGGGGAGAAACTGAGAGTTTGAGTCTGAGACATGAACTCAGATCTAAGATCCAACAGAGAGAGAGAGAGAGAGAGAAGAAGAAGAAGAAGAAGTTGCAAAGAAATCGATCTCAGATCTGAGATCTGCGAAAAAATGAAAAACCGATCTTAGATCTGAGATCCGAGAACTCATATCTCAGATCTTAGATCTGTCATTTGCGTTTGTTACCGCTGTCGCCATCGAATCATTCTCCTCCTCTTCCTTCTTCTTCCCTCCTTCCCTTTTTCCTTCCTTCCTTCCTTTCCTTTCTCTCTTTTTCCTTTTTCTTTTTCTTTTCCTTTCTCCTTCATTTCTTTATTTTTTTTCTTTTATTCTTTCTCAGCCGACAACAATTTATTGACTCTCTTCTCCAATTCTCCTTTCTCATATATAACTATATAACTATTTGCCCTAATACAAACCGTCCGAACCGTTCGACTTGGATGATTGAACCATTGACCCGAAAATTGATAGCTAGAGCGATTCCGTTTTCAGGTTGATTTTTAAAACCTTAATTTTGTCCTTTTTCATCCATCTTTAATAGTCCAGCCTTAGTCCAAGTAACAAAGTTTTTTGAATTGTAAGGGTACTTTAAATATTTGTAAGATACTTCACGGTACTTTAACTAATTAACGCTATAGTTTTAACGTCCATATAACAAAAGGAGTGTAGATGCCATGGTGTTAGAAAGTTTAGGGAGAGGACAATACCATTTCATTTACATTTACCCTTTTTTAAACATAAAAAGCGATTAATTATAATAGTTATATCAATGTTAAAATAATAATTCCAAATAATAAAATAATAGTTAAAATAATTCAAATAATAACTAAAGCTAATTAAATAATAAAATACTAATACTTTACTATAATTCTAAAAATAAATAGTTAAACAATTGAAAATAATCATAATTAAACAAATAATAAATATTCATAAAGTCATTACGATAAGTAAAATATAATTACAAATAATAAAATCATATATCTGATAGGTAAAATAATAATTCAAAATAATTACATAATAATTAAATAGTTAAATAATAAAATAATAATTTATAAATATATTAAAATAGTAAAATAATGAAAACAATGAGAGTAATAATTAAAATGAATTAAATACATAATCATATATTATTTTCATTTTCATAACAACAACAACAATTAAAATAAATAATAACAAAATTAACAAAATAATAAGAATAATTAAAATAATAAAATGGTAGTTAAAATAATTCAAATAATAACTAAAAATAATTGACTCATAAAATAAAAATAGTTATTATTATTAAAAATTAAAATGACCATAAGTTAGCAAATAATAATAAAATTCATAAAACCATTAAAGCAATTCAAATATAATTATAAATAATAAAATAATATCTAAAATAGACAAAAATAATAGTGAAAATAATTCACATAATAAGTAAAATAACTAAACAATGAAATAATACTAAATTATTATTTTAGTAATAAATAATTAAACTTTAAAAATAATCGTAATTATACAAATAATATTAAAATCACTAAAATCATTATCGTAAATAAAATATAAATATAATAATAAAAGAATATAGAAAATAATTATAATCAAAATTCAAAATACTTGATGAATAATTAAACGAGAATAAATATAAAGTTAAAAATAAAATAGTGAAATGAGAAATTATACTAATCATTAATTAAAATTAATACAATAGTTAAAGTAATGAAGGCAATATATAAAATTAGTTATATAATAAATAACAAATAAAATAACACACTTATATAAAATAATCATAAATCATTGTTATTTTAATGGTAAATAAATAAATACTTAAATAATAATAATAATAATAATAATAATAATATGATCACTATTTTCTTAATAAATATTATTGTGCTATTAAATAATATTTATTTTTGAATGATATTTTATTGCTATTAAAATAATATTCAGGTATTATTTTTATAAAGTTTCGGTATAGTAAGAGTGTGTTAACTAAATACTAATAATGAATAATGAATAAAATGCGTAAAGGGCATTTTGAGGATAAACAATGAAATTGTTGTCAGGTCCAAAGTCCAATGTCTAATGTCTGAAAATTTGTAAGGCCTTTTTCTCTTACCAATGATCTAATGATCCATGGGTATTTAGCTATTTTACTGCTTCCGTTATCGGATTCTAACGGAAGGGGTGTACTTGCAACGGTGCGAGAAACTTCAGGGAGCTGACTGCTCGCAAAAAGAAGGGGAAATTTCAGCAACTGTCATAAAATTAGGGTAGGATTCGGAAATTTATCGTAAATATCTACCTCTCTCTCTCTTGCTTGCGGTGCTGCTTTTTCTTACTGCTCTTTCGTCGCTCCTCGTCAAACTCAAACCTTGTGTTTTTGGAAGAAACAGAAGTGGGCAGTAGAGCTTGTGTTCAGGCAATGGCGGATCGACTGACGAGGTTCTTTAGAGAAGAAGCACTAACTTACGCTTATATCCTTCTCTACATCGCGCTATCCAGCGGTCAGATCTTCTTCAACAAGGTCAATTTTCTACCTTTCTGCCCCTTTTAAGACATGTCATGTCTTAGTGTCCGATGTAATTGACTTTAATTTATATGGTCATTGCTCAGATCCATTAATGAACTGCAATTGAAGTGTATTTGGGTTGTGCATTTTTGGTTATTTCACCTTAGTGATGTTTGTGCAATCTGCAATTGTAGTGTAGTTGCTTACCTTCTTTCCTGATAGTAATGACCTCCTACTCGTCATTCTTAAGTTGAATTGTTATTCTAGGTTTTCTCTATGATTTCATTGTATCTTTCTCGATTTTTATTTTTACCTAATTATGTAAGGGCACAAGGAAGGAAGTTTTGTTTGTTGGTTGAGAGGAAATTGGACAATTCAACTGGGCTCAGCAAAATGGCTTCAGTTATTCAGTAATTTAATCCAACTAAGCGTTTTCAGTGGATTCAATGAGACTGTATGTGATATATGGATGTTTTGGCCAACATCAAGGTTGGAGGCAACTGGTCCGTCTTGCTTGAAAGAATGCATGCTATTGACAATGACAAGGTAAAACCATTTACCTTGTAGCCTGCCTAGGTATACAAGCGGCACCACTACCAGTTAATGCTAGTAAAATGTCAAATTCCACAGAAAATGAGGGAATATAGGCCTTTCTTAAAGCAGTGACAGCATAATCTTCATAATCAGTTTAGGTTCATCTAATTTAATGGTGATTATTCCAGTGTTGAAAGATGATTACAACAATGAGAAAGAAGCATGTGGGTCTAAGAATTCAATGTCATGTTGGCAACTTAAACCTTTGGAACAAATCATTTTATTGCCAGCAGATAAATTGTTCTTTCTAACTAAAAAAGGATTGAAAATTTCAGACACCAAGTTTCCCAAGCAAAACAGATAAAGTATACAATAGTTCGTAAATGTTTGTATGCAACAGGAAATGCTAGGTGATTCTTCTAGAATTGGCAAGCTATTTGGCACGCATCAAGATTTGATGTTAAAAGTAGGGTTGTCAGTGGGTTGGGTAGACCTGACAGACCTGAACTGAACGGTCCAATCATATAGTGTCTAGGTCTGTATTATTCATCCTGATTATAATTGGGTTGGGATTGGATTTAGTTGTTCCAAGTCAATTAAGACCTGAACCAACTATATATACAATTATTTATTTGTATATATAATTATGTACATATTAGAATGCTATAAAGATACCTCCAATCTAATACCTAATTTTCTCATGATATACTTGCAATATTATCATATTACGATGTCTAATGTATTAATTTAACAAATAAGTTACTTAGGATTGGACCACTTGGAAGAAGGGGAACTTCTGAGGTTCGCTGAGACTTTGGGGTGTGAGGTCAGGAATTAGCCTATGAGTTATTTAGGATTGCCTCTAGGAGGAAATTCTAGATCAGGCAGGGTTTTGGAAGCCAGTTGTTGAGAGGTTTACTAGGAAACTTGCCCTTTGTAGAGATTTCATTTTGAGAGAGAACACACAAGGTAATTGTAAGAATTCATGAGTTGGAAGGTAATGGCTGGGATGCAAAAGTTGCTCCTCACTCCTCCCTAGATTTTCCATAGAAAGCAATTCATGAAGTCTACTCTATTTTCCTTAACTCCATCAAGTTTGATGTGGGAAGGGGTGACACACTTTGCTTTTGGGAAGACCTGTGGGTTGGGGAAACTCCACTCAAAGACCATTTTCTTGATCTCTTTTTTATTTCTTATTTCAAGGGGAAAACTATTTCTTGATTGGGAACAAATGGTCCAATTGGTTTAAATTGGAACTTGGGTTTTAGAAGAGGTTTAAGGGAAAATGAATGTGCTTCATTGATTTGGCTACTGTACTTGTTAGGTCAAGTTGTTTTAGACCCTTCCCTTGAGGACTCTAGAATTTGGTTAGGCTCTCTAGATGGTCTTTTCTCTTGCTTCTTGTTTTCCAAAATCCTTGTCAACGAATCCCCACATAATGGATTTCCCTTTGAAAGAAATTTGGAATAAGTGTATCCCACCTAAAATTCAAGCTCTTTGCTGGGAAACGTTCCTTGATAAGGTAAATATTAGTGATATGTTGCAAAGGAGGCCTTTTGCCTGCATATCTCCTGACTTGTGCTTCTTATGTAAGGAAAGTGGTGAGACTCTATCTCATTTATTAATCTCCTGTACTTTTGTGCATCAAATTTGGGAAATTTTCTGTTTTCTTTTTGGTTGCAGGTAGATCCCCCCTCAAGATGTGGTGGGTATTTTCAATCCTGACTTCTTGAGGCAACCTAAGAAAAGAGGGAAAGTGCTTTGGACTGATATCCTAAGAGAGTTGGGTAAAAACGTTGGGCAACTTCCATGATGTCTCAATCACTGATATCCTAAAAGCTTGGACTGAAGTAACACATTTTTGAGAGAACAAGATAGAGTAAGAGAGGATTGGAAACCCCAGAAAGCAACAAAATCAAGTTGAACTTTAATGGAAGCTCTCTTGGCACCCAGGGTTGGCAGGAATAGGAGTAGTCAGAAACTCGGAAAGGAGGATTTTGGCTTTGTTTTTAGGGCCGGTTGGTGTGGGAAATTCTTTATAGGCTGACCTTTTGGCTATGCTACAAGGTCTTTGACTGGAAAAGCAGTTGGGACTCAGGTAAATCAAGGTGGCAGGAGACTCATAGTTTGTCATTTCATGGGCAAATTACAACAGATGTGCTCCTTGGACCATGTAGAGATGTAGAACAATAATGTGGTCCCCACTGCTGCATGTCTGTTTATGTTGCTTATGGTGTTGTTAGTATGTTAGCCGGATTAGTTGGTAGTTATTTTCTGTTATCTTTTAGCTTATGTAAGCAGTAGGGGTAGTTCTGGTTTCTTACCCTGTTTTAAATCATTAATATAAATAGTTGAGTGGGGTGACAACCTCAGTTATGACCCACACTCTTCTTTGAATTTTTCTCCTCTTTGTGTTCTCTTTTCTCCTTATCCTCTTCTTTTATTCTCTACATTCTTCCTTGTTTATTTCACATCTAAACTAGGACTGATTGCAGTCTTACTAGATAAGTTGGTACAAGAGCCAACCTAAGGCTTCTCATGTGAGTCTAATTAGGCCGACTGCATGAGAACTTCCTAGGGTTGGAAGTTTTACCCAAGATAAGTCAATTGGCTGGTTCTTGGAGATTGCTGGTAGAGCGCAGCAGGATGCCCAAGGGATTGTAGAGCCTTGGAAGGTGTCCAGTGATCAGGAAGAACCAGAGGAAAGGAAGAAAGTTCAAGATTAGGGTTCAGACTGTGGATTGGAGGTGGCGGCCAGACTTTTCCAAGTAAGTTTCTATTTCTTTTTGAGGTCGACTTCAATCAGAGTTTGATTTGACTAATCTGGAAGGAGTGGCTGGGAGTTTCTCTATTTTCTCTGATTTTTTTAGGGTTTTTTCTTGACCTATGACCAGTTCTCAGTTTTAAACCCTAAATTTATGACTGCTATCAGTTTTTGGGTAACAGTTAGACTTGTCTCAGTATTTCAGATTGAGTGGTATTGGTTCCTGGGTTAGACCTGTTCCAATATTTCTGGGTGATTGGTAGACCTATTTCAATCTTCTAGGTCGGCTGTTAGCAATTTCTGGGTGTAATTACACCTGTTTCAGCATTAAAGGGGTTTCCTTTTGATCAATTTCTTGAAAGAGATGGCAGGAATGGAGTTTAAAAATCAAGGGGAAAGTGTTTTGGGGGCTGGTGGTACTGGAAACATGACTGAGAACACACTTTAGATTACCACTATCAAATTTGATGGATCAAATTATCTGGAATGGGCTCAGTCAGCCATGATGGCTATTGGGGGTAGATGAAAACTGAGCTATATGATGGGGGATGTAAAGGAACCAACCAAGGAAGACCCAACATATGCCAAATGGAACCAATCGAGGGCTGGCTCGTTGGTGTGTTAGCTGGGTTGTCCCGGCATTGACGCGGAATCAAATCCCGCAACCAGCACTTTGGGGAAAAAAAAGGGGTAAAGTGGAAAAGGGGAAGGTTATTGCTAATTAACCGAAAAAAAACATATGTCTAATGGGTTTAGGAGAACTATTTGGTCATGACTTGGTTGTGCAACTCCATGCATCCTCACATTAGCTGAAATTACTTGTGGGCAAAAACTGCTAAGGAGATTTGGGACATCATGAAAGAAACTTACTCCCAACACTTAATGTTGCTAAGGCTTATGAGCTGAAATGTGAAGTAAACAATTTTAAGCAAGGAGAGACACTTGTCTCAGTTTACTTCTTCACTTTGAAATCCTTGTGGCATGAAATTGATCACCTAGAGGCAATTGAGTGGGAAAGTCAGAGGGATGCACAAACCTTCAGAAAACAGGTTGAAACCAATAGGGTCTTTGAATTCCTAGCCGGTTTGAATTCAGAATATGATATTGTGAGGCAAAAACTCCTCACCAGAGAAAGTGTGACCTTGTCACAAGTTTCCTTTTTAGTGCATAGTGAAGAAAGTAGGAGAAAGGTTATGTTGCAGTATCAACAACCATTGGAATCAGCCTTAGCAGCAGTGAAACCAAATTTGGGGGTGACAATGAGAGGGATATGAAGAAGGAATATAAGAGGGAGCTAGTGTGTGAACATTGCAAGAAACCAAAAAGCATACCAAAGATACCTGTTGGAAGTTACATCCACATCTAGTTTTAGCAAAGCTCAGAAACAAAAAAGGGGAATGCAAATGTGGCTATCACTACTGATGGTACACCCTTATCCAACACAAGAGCCACATCCCTAGACACTTTAGCTGCTATCCGGGCTGCTTTGACTCAGTTGGAAAGTGAAATTTGGCACTTCAACATCTTCATCTCAACCACCAGTTACAACATCTACTACTCCCACTTCAACATTTGCTCATTCAGGTACACATTCAACATATCATGTCTTAGCCTTAGGTAAAACTGAACCTTGTTGGGTTATAGATTCAGGTGCATCTAACCATATGACTGGCTTGTCCTCACTGTTTACTACTTTATTGTTTATCCTCTGGCAGAG